GGGGGCTCGTGCCGAAGGCACGGAAAATGTTTAAATTTGAATCCCGGAAATGGCATTTGCATCATTCTGAGACACGCATAATCAGAAAACCCAAAATTCCGGGCGCCAGAGTATGCCTGTTCGCAAGTAATGCTGTGAATAATATAGTTAACAACAAAAACCATGACTAAAGACACCAAAAACGGATCACAATTGGGAATCGACTCACATTACTTCAATCCCATTCCCAATTTTGAGGACTTCATTTCCTATTCCCAGTGGCCAAATCCCAGTCCCAGCAACACAAATCCCATTTTCCCAGTCTAAAAATAGATCAATCCCAGTTCCCATTTTACCCCTTCAGGGCCATCTATAGTAAATGTGCATGTTTAAATGCGCTTTATTACCCTCTATTAAGTCGGTTTTCCACTAGCGAATTTTTCTGCGCGAAGCGACCTTTTTCCTTTGTCGGCATCCATTTTGCAGCCCTCGAAAAGTCAAAACCGTCAAAACTGAGGTCGGCAAAATCTGACCTAGGTCGGCACATCTCGGCATTTCTTAAAATCTGTTTCACGTCTTGGAGCACTATTAATCACGCATTTACGAATCATTGAAATCGGAATATAACTGGAACGTTACCTCCAGCCGGAAAATTCGAAAGTTGGAGCCAAATTTTAACTCCAGACGCGCGAAATTTGATCTTCAAACATCTAACGTATATACACAATACCCGTCAGTTTTTAAACCTTACACCGTATTGTGTTCAGTTAATCGAACTACGAATCGAATTCTATAATCGCTGACATTTTAAAAGCTATCAGCATAAAAAATTCTTACTTTGGTTGAATTAAGGTGGGCAAAAATTTGCATTTAGCCCGGCATTGCCGAATGCCGACCTCGTTTTCGAGGACTGATTTTGCCACGTCTTGCTGACGTAATAAGTGATACCGACAAAGGAAAAAGGTCGCTTCGTGCGAGAAAATTCGCTAGTGGAAAACCGACTTTATTTCCTCTTTTATAGAACAGTATAATAAGCAACAACAGAAGTGAAGATACTGTATTCGAAAAAACTTGCATTGCTGCATGTGTGGTTTCTTTGATGCATGCTATTCGTGATATTCGGTTTGAATTCAATTATTCAGGAGGTCAATTTTGGTTTCTTCAGTGGTTATCTTCAGCCAATCCAGTTTTGCCGACTGAGATAACAATTTGCCGATTAGCCGACGAGTGGGGGGGGGGTGTTCCACCCCCTGTAGCGCCGCCCCTGGTCACTGCTCGGCAATAGCTATATTACAATAACAATTACCACTTATTTAGGGAGGAGTCATTATTAATGCAGGGGGTGGGGCCGGAAGATATTTGTGGGGGCACCAAAAATTTATTAACCACTTAGGGGGGGCACCAAAAATATAAAAGAAACTGGTATATAAAAATATCAAAGAAACACCAAAAATAATGTACAACAAGACGCTCTATGGAGCGTTAACTCGCTGGGGCTATACAAATATGCACATTATTGTATATGATACCAGGTACAGGACACAGCTATTTCAATTAAGATCTAAGCCTGGCCCCGAGCTAAGCGGAAAAGTCGAATACGAAAATGGATGATTGCACTAAAATGTGGTACCCTACAAATAAAACTTCCGGCTTTTATGCCCACAAGTAAAGTTATATTTTATAGTACGCTACATTCTTCTGTCGGCCGCCAGTTTAAAACGTTCAAACTAAAATATTTTGGGGCTTTTGGGCTCAAAATATTATCAAAATGAAGAAAGAAGTGAGACGAATCCACTGGTATACGGCCGAAAAAGAGAAAACCAACGATACCAAAGTTATCAAGGATAAAACGTACTGCATTTTTTATAATTTGAGCGATTTGTCAACAAATAATACAATTTTGCTTGGCTTTCAAAGACAAAGTCAAAGGCCATCACTGTTGTCAGTTGTTTAGTAATACATTTGACATCCGTATGTACAATTTCTCATTCGTAAGTACAATTTCTTAGTTTTTCTTACCCTGAATCGAACGGTGGTATTTTTATCCTTATTGCGCCATTAGGCATTACAAATACAAGGACAAGGTCGGACAAAGCCGTCAAACGGCGAGTGATTTGTCAACAATACAATTTCGCTTGATTTTAAAAGTCCATAAATCGTTAGAATCATAGGCGTACCGGGCGGGGGGGGGCGGTAGCCCCCCCAGTTTTTTGGGCAGTCGGGCAATATTCGATTAACAGTCGGGCAATTTTGGTTTGTTATAAAAATAAATCGGACAAATTCTGTCAATTTTTTCGAAAATTTAGTCAATTTGTGGCCCAATGTAGTGTTTTTTTTGCAAATTTATGTGATGCTCCGAAAAATTTTGGTATGTCCGGAAAATTTTTTTGACCCCTTAAATGGTACACTGACCGAAATTTTTTTGGCGACGGGGGGGGAGGTCGCCAAAATAATTTTTCCGGGAAAATTTTTTGGTACTAGTCGGGCACAATCACGAAAAGTCGGGCAATTTTACGAAAAGTCGGGCAATTTTCTTTCCGCCCCCCTAATTTTTTCCTTCCGGTACGCCCATGGTTAGCACACACCTACTAAAATGCTAGAGATTTTAAAATTTGAAATCTTGGAGATTGATTGCGCAACCTGAAAATTAACGAATGGCCGGAAACGAAAACTAAGCCTTCTATTTTTAATTAGTTTCAGTGCTTTTTCACAGTATGTGACAGTCTGGGGCCCAGTATGTGACGTCATACTTAACCAAATGTTAGCCCAAAATTGACCAGAACTGCCAAATCAAGAATAAAAGTCTATAGGTCTAAGCTGGAAAACTCATATTCTCATCCGCATTTTATCCTCTCATCCGCATTGTCCCACCCTCATCCGCGTTTTACCCTTACTCCAATTTTATCACTGTAAGATCAGAAAATAACCCAATAATGTAGTAGAAAATATAGCAATTGTTTTTTCAGTCTTTAACTATTTACAAAGAATTTTATCCACATTAATTCTGCAAGTTTCATAGTAAGCTAGATCTGTGGATCAAGTTCTAACTTCAAAAACCACAATAGACCATGTTAATGGCAAATTCTAAAATACTAGTTTGTCCGTATGAACAAACCAATATGTTGATTTCCTGATCACGGCAGGAAAACCTCAAATGTTGTTATACAGACTACTGTAAAATAAATAAATTTTTAACCTATACACTAGTTAAAAACCAAATAAGATATATTATCCTATATAATTGTTAAAAATCCTTAATTAAGTTATATCAGGCTATTTTTAGGAAGCATGTCGTTGTGTCATCAGTTACAGTAACAATATGGACGTCAATTTCTTCAATCTAGTTTTTGCAACCTCTGCTGTAATTCCGGGCTCTTGAAAAACACTTTAATTTATTTTCTTTTTCCACTTTCCCAAATGAGAGCGGAACAACAATTCTACATGCAGCATGTACTAGGTAAGATCAGATCGAAAACATTTGAATTTCGATGCTGTCGGGTTTTCCCAAAATGCAGCCCATGTATTACCAGTGCTGTCTCAAATTTTAATGTTTGCATTCATCTTCCTGCGAATTCGTCACTACCTATATCGTAGATAGTCGGTTGGCCCAGCTAGCGTGATGATCGGTCTAAGAAATGTTCAACCCAGTTTCACGTAAATACAGAAAGAGAGTAGAGACAAAACTATGAACATTTGTTCCGCTCTGCATTCGTCTCGCTCTCAAACGGAGCCTTATGAACGACATTCTAAAGATCCAGACTGGCTTTCTGTTGCGACTTCTCCTCTTTCCATATAACGACTACGTTCCGATCTTTGCTTCAGTTCTCGTTTTCTGGACTTGATATATTTTAGGCATATCCACTTTCCCTAGGTCTCCCCATAGGTTCGTTTTGATGGTTCGCTGTCGAACTTTTAGTCATTGCTTATTTTTCCCATTCTTGGATGAAAATTCTACTTTCATTTTCTACCTACTAACTTTGGGATCCATGTTTCCTTGTGCATTTCCCCCTTCCTGATGACGGTATTCCGATTAACCTATACATTACAAGAGTTCAATTTACTAATGACCATACGCTGTATCTTACATAGCATGCCATTTGCATGTTCTGTTTTTCGTTTTGATGGTATTCACATTTCACTCAGCCTCCATTTTCCAGTCGGGAAGGTCGTTTCGTTTTATACAAATGGTAGCTGAAGGCATTCAAATTTAATCCATAGCCATGGTATATCTATGTCATTCACATTTCAACCAAGCTGCATTTACTGCAGTTTCTAGCCTGTCCTGGCTACAGGTTTTAGTTCAAAGCATTCAAATCTACCCCCATTACGATACGCTGCATTTCATACAGCATACAGTGCAGATAACGACGATGATAGTTCTACATCTGATAGGTTTGTTTTCTGTACGTGTACTCAGGAACTGGACAGACGAATCGCAAAATTCAGTTTCGGCCAGGGCCCAAAGGTCATTCGGGCATAAAATCACTTTCCATGCAATAGTATATATATATATATATATATATATATATATATATATATATATATATATATATATATATATATATATATATATATATATATATATATATATATATATATATATATATATATATATAGGAGCGCGCTATATATCTAAACTAGTATATTGTGAGTTTTTTTAGGCCATAGTGAATATTTTTAGAAATATCAGCCATTGCATCGTTAAGAAATACATGAGAAGCTAATTGAGAAATTCTGAAGTAAGCTTTTCTTAATATATCTTGAATAGCCGTGGCATCACAGCACTTGATTTACAGAAATGTGTTGATATTGTTGCCTTGAATCAAAGTGGTGTCAACACATTTCTATAAATGAAATGCCATGACGCCACTCTATTTCCAGATATATCAAGAAAAAACTAAAGCCATGAGGGCTTTATCCAAGCACCAACTGACCTCCGATAAACGGAGGTCAAAACTCAATGTTGGATTGAGTTTTTAATTCGTGCGTCACGGGGGTCAGTAGAAGTGCTTGGATAAAGTCCTGAAAGCGTACCTCAGATTGATTTGAAATAGCTTCTCATATCTTTCGTAAATGATGCAATAGCTGATATTTCGAAAAATATTCACTCTGGCCGAAAAACCAGACAATATACCAGATATAGAGCGCTCCTATATAAACACTATCGAGAAAGTGACTTTATGCTCGTATTCGGTCCGAATGACATTTGACCCAGACCGGTAGCTGAATTTCGCGATTCGTGTATTCAGGTGCTAGCCACAGTACTAGGCTGTACACAGACATCAACCATGGGAGACTCATTTCTACTAACATCGTGTTTCAATCGATGGTTTTTCTGATTTGTGACTGACTCCGTGTATGTCATCCTCGTATGTGAGGAAGATGCTTCATGAGACGTCCTTGTTGGAGCTTGTTCAGCACTTGCTTGATCCACTGACATAGAACTTTGTGTGTTATCGTTCACATATTTTGACATTTGTTTCGTTTTATTCCTTGTCTGATGTGCACCTTTAGAATTTGTTGTCGTTGACGATTCATTGCTACGATTTGCCGTTTTAGTCCTGGCCACATTACCACTAGGAGTGTCCATTGTTTGGGAACCGACAATGCTATTGCTCCATGTAGCATTTGCCCTTGTTGAGGGACTATCACAGTCCATAGCTGAGCCTCGACTAGGCCCTTCACTTGTGGTAGCATTACTATCTCCTGTATATACACCAGAACTCGATGTCGCCTGGCCATACGATCCCGGCATTCTTGATCCACTGGCCGGTGGTGACGTAGTCGGTGAAACTGGAGTTGTATTAGTGGCCTCATCTGCAGTCCTTCTGAAGAAACAGTTTTGTAATGCAATATGTGGTTTAATTCGATGTTTGGGATCGTACTCCAACATTTGCAGTATTAAGTCTCGAAATTTAATGTAATCTTGATATGTGTGACCTTGATCACCTGCGCGACGACCACCGGGACCTCCAGAATCACATCCTAAGACATTGTGAAGTTTTCGTGAACCAGGTGGAGCATAATCCTAAAACATAGAACGTATTCAAAATTAATGTGTCGGCCTATCTGCGTGAAGGCTAGTAGCGTCCACGAAGGGCCTTTGCTCGAAACGTCGAAGTTAATTCTTTTTTTTTTATTTCAATCTTTAATTTCAATTCTCGCAGTTTGAATAATTGCTACTTAGACTGGCACCCACCGTTCGAAATTGTGGGAATCGAACCCGCGACCTTTGGCTCGGTCCTACGCTTTGCAACCTGAGCTATGAGGTCGGAACTAAATATATCAGTTTCGTCCATACCAGACAAGGGCGGAATGGCCTCATTTGTTAATAGGAGTGGAGTTTTTCCTGATGGGAGCTTTCAAAATAAGCCGGCGGGTGCCACGAGGTTTACCGCCGGTTACTTTCTTTAGTACTTGAAAATCAATCTTGCTCTCCTTCCTCCATTCTAAGCTTTCAAGTTATTTTTCATCAACCTGGTCTACTTTATAGCCTGGTTATTTTCGAAAACGACGTACTTTTCTTAAAACCGATTATTTATTTGCCATCGTAAATTTTGAAGTCATCTTGTTGAAGAATGAAAGTAGTGATACATTATAATTTGGTTACAGAGTTCAGTTGTAGCAATATACATGCACTAGTTAATTTGGATGACTTTTAAGACTCCCTAGATGTACAGGGTGTATAAAAAAACCGCTATGGAAATTCAACTTGCTCTCGTGCGCCATAAACTTAGCTAAACAATTCAATTTTTACATCGGACGAAAGAGCTGTTATTTAGCTTTTTTATGATACCTTTCTTAAACCGTAACGATACTGAAGAAATGGCCACATACTTGTCAAATAAAAATTGTCGGTCAAAATCATATTCTTCCACCGTTGGGAATTGAAAATACATCAATTATGCAAAGTTAATCAATCCAAAAGCAACGCGAGCCTGCTGCAAGGTTTTTGTTTCGTAAAACGTTTTGATTACTACGAATGTTCTCTGTTTAGTGGTTAATTGAACCATGTTTAACGCAATAATGGACTTCGTGTTGTCTCACTAAGACGAAGATTGACGAGCTAATTTTCAGATAACTTACTACGCATTTCACTGATATGTGCATTCCCATTTTTTCTCGCTTCCGAACGGCGTTCGACGGTCGACGTTCGACGCAGGCCTGGTTACAAAATTTGGCGCCTTTTCAAGTTTGAATTTTCCGAAGTTAAGGTGGCTCCATACAGTTCCGTAGTATAAATACCTTATTGCGTAAAAATTTCAATTTATAAATTTTATCACTCCATCTATTAATTTTAAGCATTCCCAAGTATAAATTAAGTATTTGGTAGAAAAAATTTGCAATACTCTTGAACATAATATTGTTTCCATAGTAACAGTAGCCTCGCCAAATATGGTATTTTTTGCTATTTTAAGCAGGTTTTTATTCTTTATTTTCCGAATATTGCCGGTGACCCCCAATTTTTAACTGCTGTATAGCTTTCACTTATAATAAGGAATCTTATCCCTGAAAATAAAAAAAATTCTGTAGATTAGAACAGCCAGAATAAAAAATTGCGGATTTAAAGTTTTCCAATCTACAGATTTTTTTAAAATTTTGATATTCTATTTGTTTTAAAAGAAGTTATCGTTGTGCAAAATTTCATCACATGTCACCGTGCAAAATTTTGAATTACGCCGTTTTATTGTGGTATCTCACTCGCTCGGCCGAACGTTTTTGGAGCTCTGCAAGATCAATGAATTGACATGCGCGTACATGTTTTCGCAGGCGCATCTCCAGGATAACACGCACAAAAAAGTTTTTAGTCTCGTCGAAATATCAAATATATGTTGTGTTTTCTTGCTTAGATTGCAAATATATTTAGTTTTGCATGCTAACTCGGGATAACGCCATGAAACAGGCGATTGTGTCGTTTGGTATAAGATATGTGTGGCATGTATGAACTTTTTGGCTTCTGTATACATAGTTATATTCGTCTTCAACTCGTAACTTGTGTGTTTTCATGTTGTTGTTGACAATTTAAAACAGTTTGAGCCGGCGTATGATGCTGTTTGACTGGATTCCTTTGCTGTTAGTGACACTTTGAGTACATTTACCAGTTGTAAGTACAAAAAACTCTGGATATGAACTTATAAATAGCCAAATATTGGAGTAAAAAACGTTTCGCCGGTCGGGCCGATCGCCGGTTTTCACAAGAGTTCGAACGTTAATTAAACATTGCATTTTTTACTCCTTAAAATGTCTTCTAAAACGACTAGCTATTCAATGTTCAGGGCTAAATCAGGACGAAGTTTGTTCTTTGAGAACAAGTGAGAACAAAAAAGACTCGAAACATCAAAATAAACATGATTTGTGGTTCGGATTTTAGACTGAAAAAGTTGTATTTATTTTTGCATATATTTGTAATATTTTCGCGCGAAAACTCAAGATTAGGTACCAGTCCCCCGATGATGAAAAGTGTATGGAGCCTCCTTAATATAAATAGTCACTGTCTTGTCTTGAATGACAGAAGTATTAGCGAGAAAAAATGAAAAATGCGTAGTAACATTCAATTTTAATTGACTCTTGGGAATTGTCTATGTTTCGTTTTCCATGCAATTCCCAAAGGTGGAAGAATGTGATTTCGACCGGCAATTTTTAATTGACGAGTATGTGGCCATTTCTCATCGTTACGATTTAAAAAGAGTATCATTGAAAAGCTAAATAACTGTTCTTTCGTCCTATGTAAAAAATGAATTGTCTAGCCACGTTTATGATGCACGACAGCCTGTTGAATTTCCATATTAGCGTTTTTTTTTAGACACCCTGTATACTGCCCCCTCCCAACAGCCGCCTACTTTATCGAAACAGACACCTACTCCGAATAATTCTGAAAGCCCTGCATCCGGGGTCATGCTCCCCCAGAAAAATGTTGAAATTTTGGAAACCATTAGGAGGGGTGCGCACCTCCCGTGGATCCGTCTATTCGTGTGATATAAGTGGATTTGTACAATACTTACTTTCTTTACTTTACCATCTTTACTTGTTTTCCTTGGTACATAACTACCATCCGAATGGCGATCAAAATACGCCCTAGCTTTCGGAGCGTTATCCAAGATATGCCGAGGAGGAATACCCAGCACTTCCACAATCTTCTGCATCTGGTCAAACTATAAAACACGGAATATATTCAGCTCTGAGAAACCACTTCGCAGAATGGCTTAAGAATCGTGATGCAATTTTGGCTCATGAATCGTGATGCAATCATGACAAGAAATTTCTGCAACATATTATGTTCAAACATTGCCATTACGTCATGCGGATATGCAATTTTAAGACGTTGAATGTAGTTGTGGCGCGCACGCGGGAACTAAAACAAACTGGAAAATGTTGACACCCGCGCGGACAAAGCGACCGTTATCAGAATCGACGTTTTTTAAAGCCTCTCTGTGTCTCCAACGGATTTAGTTTCACCTCACATTGGTCATTTCAAGCAACAAAGGCTGTCGCTATTTTAACAGTTCAATTTTGTACGGGCGGCATCCAAGGTGAAAAAAACACCGACTCCTTAAGGTTTTCGATGACGAAGTTTGTTGTTCGTGGTCGTCTACCAAGTCAAATCTAAACCTCTTTGGTGGTAAAACAATGGCTACAACAATTCCTTATTTTACAACTTACTTCATTTGCTCCACTGAACAAGGGTTCCCCAGTGTGCATTTCTACTAAGATACATCCCAAACTCCACATGTCAATTGCCATGTCGTAAGGAATGCCAAGTAGAACTTCTGGTGAACGGTAAAAACGACTTTGGATATAATGATAAATCTAAAACGAAAAAACCCAAACATCAGAACAATACTTCAGTTTATCTGGTTGAAAATAACTATCAAAATAGGAATGCAAGTTATTTCACAGTAGGATCCTGTAAAATTTTGTCGGATATTTACCAGATAGTACTAGAACTTTTATTGGAACTATGAAACCGAAAAATGATTCATGTCTTTTATGTGCATTATTAAGAAATTGTAGAGCAGGAATAATTTACTGGGCATGCAGAGAATGTTGTAAACTGCTTTCTGCTGTAGATTGCCCGCCCGTGCCTGCGCCAGAAATATTTATGCTTATTACATGAAGAGACAAAGCACATACTAAACAATGGGCTAAATTTATATTGGAGACAATAGGGAAGTAATGTCCAAGTACCACCATCAGCATGCGGTTATCATTTCCCCTGACCAGTAACCGGTAAAACAGTATCCGATACATCCCTATCTCACAGTGTTTCAATGTTTTTCTTTTCGAAATATTTAAGTTTGGTAAACATACATGTAAATAAGATGCCGTCATCGTAATGTTAACCGTCGAGTAATAACGGCCAAATGTGATTTTTCTGCTTCAAATTCTCATGATACCGTGAGTGCCAGAGCTAGTTTTCAGGGTGTTAAACGGTTTTTGAGAAGGAAGGGAAACTAAGATGAGAGGCGCAGAGGGGAAGCTAAACCAGTGAGCTCCATATATATCTGGAGTAAGAAATTCAGTCATTCGGCCTGATGAGAAAAGTGAACCCAAGATGGCGGCCAGTGACGTCCAATAGCTCTGATGGTCGTAAACAGCTTTTATACCATCCCCCAACTAATTCCAGTCTTATCTAACGGAGCGTATCGATAACCAAGTTATCAGTTCATAAAACCATACAATATCAGGGTTTTTTCCAGGATTTTCTCTTGGGTCCGTTTTTGCAGAGAAGATTGAGTTTAGCTGAACAGCTGGGGTGGCTGGCACTTCCACCGGCCACACCTGTACTCAATAAATGTAGTTGAGACGGAATGTGTTAAAGCAGGGGCACTAAGGGACACTATAAACTGGTTAAAGATGGCGAATGCATAGTTTTTCTTCTGAACATTGTGAGATGAATTCCAGCCATTTTTTCTTAATTGTCGGGTTTCCAACTGAAAACTAATTTCCACACGTCACGAATTTAACTCAAACAACTTCATTTTTACTGCACTGAAACTTTGGTGAGAAGATTGAGTTTCAAAACTCAATTCAAGATTGAGTTTTTGGGGCCGTTTAACGGCCCTAAAAAATCCCTGAAAAAGCCCTGAATATTTGCACAGTGATATATGACCCTGTCTTAATGTAAGATTTTGATGCAAGCTGAAGCAATTCTTGTCAGTTCTTCTATATTTAAAAACCTCCTCCAATCAGGTGTCTAGTACAGATTCTGTACTAAAATCGTTAATTTTGTCTTGTGATTGGACCTTTCACCGGAAGAAAAACCCATTATTTATAATATAAACAAATTTGTTCCTGTGACGTCTTTTGTATTGCATTTTCGCACTTGTTAATTAGTTTTCACAAAACCCACTCGCTCATTGCATTCGCTCGTTCGCTTTGTGAAAACAAATTAACGCGTGTGAAAATACCATACATCAGCACTTCCCATAAAAATCTCTATTTCTTTCATCATATAAGCAAATTCTTGGGTTATTTATTAGGTAAAATGGTCAATAGGTGTAATTTCTCAACTGCTCCCGCTTTAATCTTGCATATGTATATATTATTACACTCGACATTAATCCACAAGATGTCAAAATTTAGAATAAACCCATTTTACAGAGAACTTTCATAATAAAGGCCTTTATTCTCTAAATCTAGGCCCATATCGCACACTTTACTGCATTTCTTTGTTTTGCATTTTGTCCACACTGTACAGTACTTATGTTTTCGACAACTTATCGATAATTTGCGAACGATGAAGCACAATTTACACATGCACAGCGTGAAGGTATATAGCATGCCCTCGTCGCAAACGAAGCCAGCAAACGAAGCCAGCAAACACATAAATTATGTATGGTTGGATTAAGTCCTTGTCTCACCATGTGCTTCAAAGTGATTAAAACAACAAGCTTTGTTCTCAGCTCATTAAAATTCCGTTATCCACATTTCTCTTTCTTTAAATTCACAAACCAGAACGAGTAAAAAGAAAGAGTTCAGAATGAGAATATGGCAGCACATCAGCCAATAAAACGAAAACAATATAATTGATACTATTATAAACGTAAAACACTGTAAATAATATAGTTAAGGTTACAGAACACCTTTGAGGGTTAATTTTGCCTAACATTTTTTTGTTGGTTTCCATGAAAGCATTAGACTAGTTCTACTATCTGACCAAGTTTGAACGAAAAATGTTGAAAACTCGCAGAGTTATTTAATAAAATACATTTCGCTGCAATAAGAAAAACATTGGAAATGTAATATTCAACTTCAATTTTCTCCCGAAGAATTTTACGATAATTACTGATTTTCAAACGAGTTGTGCTCCTGCGGGTTTTGACCAATTTTTCTCAAATTTTCACAGGACATAGCTAAAGACGTCAGTTTCAAAATTGTGTTCGGCTTTGTTCTAATTTTGGATATTTTAATAATAAAGAGCAATTCACTCAAACAATTCAGAAATATATTGCAGTAGTCAAAGAAATCGCCATATCAGCGGAATGACAAAATAAACAAAAATTTCCAAACACAATTTTTTAGAACAACTATTTTACTGTTTAAAAATGATATTTTCATAAATATAACTTAAAACCAGCAGGAGCACAACTCAAAAGCGCAACGGTACAGCGATTTAAGATTTTCCTGAATAATTCTTACATTATTTTATTGCTTGTTAATTTTATAACTTTATCATATTTTGCATGCACTGGCGAACATTTGGTGAAAATTTTATGAAAATCGGACTGATATTGAGCGCGCAGTAGCGATTTTCCGCAAAACGCCAAAAAGGGTGTCCTGTAACCTTAATATATTTACTCAGCCCTCGAAAACGAGGTCGGCATTCGGCAAAGCCGATATCAATATCGATCTGTCAACGTTTGAGGCCGGCAATTTTTAGTCGACCTCAATCCAGTTCTTCTCAGTAGAACCATCTGTTCAGCTGCCGCCAGCAGTTCAAAAAACCATCGTGTTCGTTCGTTATTCCTTGCCTTGTTCGCAGCTTGTAATTCGTCCCTAGTACAGTCAGGGAAATTGCGAAGTTTGTCGAATAACTAATAAGCAGCCGTAGGAATATTAAAAAAACGGTCGTGGGAAATTTGGATTATGTTACTATAGTGGTTGCTGCGGCTTCGAAATTACAATGCCGGAGATAATGTCCGATCTAAAAAAATGCCGAGAGGTGCCGACCTGGGTCACATACTCACAATTAGGTCGGACCTCAATTTTGACTTTTTTTCGAGGGCTGTTTACTATATAATACATTACTTAATGTTTTCACAGTCCAGGTTAAACTAGAAATACATTAATGGAAACCTCTCGCCCCGTATATGATCAACTGATCTTGCGAAGTTTTTGCTAATTTTGACTTTCTAGGGCAAGGGTTAACATTGGTTTCGGATTAGGCTTTATTTTATGAAATAAGAAAATGTAACTTTAATTTGATGTGCAAATCTTGCCCAACAGTTTAGTTTTTCAAAATATTGCCTGGCTGCGGGCTGCCGGACTTACAGTGCTGTGGTACCATTCAATTCAACAAGCTAACACAGTATTATAGCACAGTATGGGGGGGAAATGCTTTTAATAATGGAGGAGGGTGTTTGACTGTAAAAGGGTTGGTTAAAAAAAGGGAGGATGAGCAAAAAACTGTCAGGAGGATTGTTGACCAAGTTTTTTTTCCAAAGTGCAGAAAATCAAGACTGAAGTTCAGGCCTTTCATCAGTGGGATTTTTCAGAGAATGACACTGATATGACTTTAAAAACATACAGTAAGCCTTAATAATTCCGTGCTTTTGCAAGCGTTAACCTATACATATTGTGTGTGTGTGTGTGTGGGGTGTGTGTGTGCAAAAGTGGTGCGGTGGGGGGGGTGGAAAGTTTTAAAAAAGTTACTGTTAGGTTATTTTATCTGCAAATTCAGGTGTTCAGTACAATGTAAAGCAGTTATCCAGTTCGCCAAACAATTTTCAAAATGAAAAATAACCAAATTTATTGTACAGCAAGTCAGCAATTTTCCTTAATACCGGCCTACATGGCCAGGGCTGTAAAAGTAGGGATGTAACAATTTTAAACTTTGAAATTTACTGCGATTACGATTATGAAAACATTAATTTGGAAGCTTTATCATGGCGATATATCTTCGACAAAATTATCATAGAAAAGTACACTATTAGATTTTATTATATTACTAAAATTAGAATCACGGACATGGTATTATATTCCATTCGGTTATTACCTGGCAGATTGTTTGCCTAAATGTATTGCCACTGCATCAATTATTCTACTGGGCAATGCGGATGAAAAATGGAACTTTGCGAATGAAAATGCAACTTACCCGCTGTCCAATTTGACAAGAACTACCAAAGTCGACGATTTTAATCCCACTTTTCTTCGGGTTACACAATAGAATATTCTCAGGTTTTAGGTCACAATGTATAATGCCAAGATCAGCTTGAGATAGGAATAGCAAAGATGTACACATTTGTTGTGCAAATTTCCTCGTTAAGTTCAGTGATACACCACGGAAGTTTGTATTCCGCAGTAGATCATAAAGGTTGTAGGATAAAAGTTCAAACACCAGACAAAGGTGGCTCCGGTAAACGAAATTCCTCTTTAAGCGCACTATAAAAGAAACGAAAATCTTAGACCATGAAACTAGACATACTTAATCACATTATCTCATGATCAATTGCATAGGACACTTCAATTTCAGCAACAGAAGGGTCATGTATACTGGCAAACGTTAATTCGCACCCCCAATATTTTGCAAACTTGTTCTGCATTCAACCTAACCCACAGTTACGTTTGGCACTTCTGCTTCTTTGTTTCAAACTCTTGAAAATAAAATCTCAAATATTCCCCCAAAATATATGGAAATAAATTTTAAAATTTATACAGACGCTGAAAAAAGTTTGCTATAAGATTTTAATACGCTAAAAAGGGAGAATTTCGTTCTGGGTCAATTAGCACGTTTGTTGACATTTTGGCTCTCGACCAATCAAAATACGTGAAATTTAAAAAATAAAGACTTTGTTGATGTTTTTAAATTTTACGTAATCTGATTGGTCAAGAGCCAAAATGTAAATTCGAACGAATTTCCTCCTTGTTTTTTGTGTTAATTTATGTTTCGTATATAGGTAATCATGCGATGGCGAGTACAATTAGGGATTAATAGTACGAGTGATGTTTGGAAACATCACGAGTACTATTAATCCCTAATTATACGAGCAACGTCGCATGATTACTTGTTTATTATTAGCATGACAAAATTGGATACTTCTCAATGTCAACATTATATTCTCTCGTCAAAGTCCAGTCCTTCCAGACATTCAACCAAAATTTGGTGCTTTTGTTCGTATTTTCATTTAGTTCTTTTGTTCAAGCAAAATTTGGTGCTTTTGTTCGTATTTTCATCTAGTTCCTCTAGGGCAATTTCATTTCACATCTGTGTTTAAAATACCTTTCCGCCATTTTGTTTGTTTTGGGAAAATCATTAATTATACTGCAGTACAATTAATGAAATAATTGTACTCCTCTCAACCAATCAGCATCCAGTAATTTTGTCATGTTAATAGTAAATGAGCTAATCAGCTTTCATATAAACGGCTTCAAAATGTTATATGTATATAGTAATTTAGAGTTCGACGTCCAAAGACCTATCAATTTCCCTTTTGAAATACGCAAATTTTAAACATTGTACGCACGCTCAGCAGTGCAATGGAACAAAACGTAAAGTACAAAAAATCACGGTTTGGTTTCCAGTAAATACCATCCGTCAAAATCTTAATCGTATCCTAATCGTAGGTCATGTATAAATCCAAATCTTCGACCGATGGAATTAAATTTATGTGCATAATTTGTTCGAAACAAAATGGCGGGTTACTGCTGTGCGTCGGAGTTTTGGCCTATTTTGCCGGAGTTTGTTCAACTCAGGCAAAACTCCTGAAGCACTTATTTGTGATGCAAACTACTGTCGAACATCGGCGAAAAAACCTGAATTCATCAACGAAAAAGTAAATACTCGCATTTATACTGCGTAGGCTTGCCACAAACATAGTACGAAATGTTCATGCGAAGTGTTAAAATCAAAAACAGGTAATCGTTCCATGTTTCGCGCACCAATATAGTAAACGTTATGTAACGGATATTATAGTGTACTGAAAAGTTCACTAGATACCTCCATACACATATAACACACCCTAACCCCAACCCTAAACCTAACCCCTAACCCTAACCTAACCCCTAACCCTAATACCTAACCCCTAACACTAACCTATATTGTTGCGCGAAACATGGAATGATAACCCAAAAACAAAACTAGTGCTTCCACTTTGAAATTTCCATTAAATTTCGAATTTTCACGAATTTGCCGGAGCTGGAAATTTTCTGCTGGAGTTTTTTTTGCCTGGAGCCGAAAAACCCGGAGTTTGCACAGCACTATGGCGGGTGTAAAAATCATTAAAAATATTATTTTTATTAACTCTTCACTCAAATATTTTGCGACATATTTGTTAGATATTAAACATTGTACAGCATGCAACTCAGGTATCGATACCATTGATTTACTTTGGTGTTATATAAAACAAACAATGTTTTCATTCGTGCAATAGTAAAAATATTTTCATCATTTCAAATGTTTGTAATGTTTGATGACACGTGGTTTGACGTGGAAGTACAATTATAAAACCATTATATCTAGGTAAGAAATTATCATTAACAGATCATCAAGTACATCAAGTATCTGTGAATACTGTACGAACACTCTCGAAGATTTCCTAACGATGCGATGTTAACAATGATAAGATATTTATAAATAATGCTCCAAAAACTATGGGGATTTTGTTAAACCGAAGTAAACGACTTTTTCAAGGGGAGAACGTGCTGCAGACTTCAAGGAGTGCATAACGGTACGATGTCATCTTAAAACTTCAAATTTAGATTGGATGAGTAGAGTTATCACGTTACTCATTCGAAAGATCACAACTAACTATAATCCGTACACTATACAATATCAAATATGAAATATTCTTTGAATGTCACTGACCAATATAATATTTCCCTTCAGGATCACTTTGGTTCATTAGTTCCAGTAGTTTGACTTCAATCTGAGCTTGATCCAAGAAAGCTTTCTTATTCTTGATAATTTTAATTGCAACAAATTCTTTTTCGTGAAGGTCATATGCTTTACATACCTATATGTTACATAAAAACAAAATATCACATGAACAGGGTTCCCCCACATGCCAACAACAAAAGCACGCATCAGGAAATTGCAATAGCCCGACAAGATGGTTTCAGCATCAGCAAGTCACATAAAAGATTCAAATTTGCGTTTTAATCAGTCACTACATGTAGCTAAAATAATTATCCATGTTTTTCCTAACTATCAAGAAAATACCAAGCATAATTTATTCAAATAATCTGATCGTGGTATTTTAGCAAGTTTAAATGGAGAATTCGCCGTGTTTTTATATTAACATGGGTGGTCTGTCAGACAGATGATACGTTTTGACAATCCGTCTCTGGTTAGTCTGGTATAAATCAGGAAAATAAAAGTACATGGTTTAGGGATAAAAGTACAAGTTAATCTAATAGGAATGACCCAAGGAATAAGAAGTATACCTGTCCAAAAGAACCTTTTCCAATTAGAGAATCGATCTTATAACGTTCTGAAATCATCTCTCCAGCTCGTATGATGTAATCATAATTCTCATCATCATAACCATTGTTATACAACCTTCTCTCTTTCTTGTGACCACCTTGTTCGTTTGCTTTCTTTCTTTTCTTGTTTGCATAATACACCTGCATAAAAAATTAATACATCAGAAAAAACTCTAAGGCCTTGTTAATAGGAGATCAGGAAGAAAATAGTCAACCTAGAGATATAACCTGGAAATTCTGTAGGCCCGTTTACACTTGCAATTTTTGCTGCGATTTCTAGTGCGATCTTCTTCTTCTGATGGATGTGAACGAGTGGATGAATTATGAATGTTGAAATGAAGGTACATAAACTCAGAACATTCATTACTCATCTACTCGTTCACGTGCATCAGAAGAAGAAAATCGCACTAGAAATCGCAGCAAAAATTGCATTGAAATGAATTAGAATATAACTGAAACGCTACCTCCTTTCAAAAATATACGCGATTGGGTCATTCTAGAAAACATCCATACCACCCTCACGGAGGAAATTGCCAGTTACCCCCCTACCCCTTCGGATGTCCTAATACATTTACTATTAATCAGAAACAATTTTTTCTCCCCTCCCCCTCCGGACGGCAGAAATTTCCTCCGTGGGGGGAGTGTGGATCTTTTCTGGAACGACCCATTCTGATCTTGTTGTGGAAGTATTATCACTTTTTCGAACGTTCACATATCGATACTTGTATTTGAAAACTCGATGAAAAATAGGTAAATATTTAATGACATTGCTGTTACATGTTATGTTCAATGTGTTCCATACATAAGTTGCATGGACAGTACCTTTCATCTAAAACATCACTGCGATAAGAAATTTAAAAAATGTAAGTATATCCACTCAAATAACTTATTTAAAATGCAAAAGACTGTTATTAATAGCTCTTAGCGGTGGTCAGCTTGCCAACCGACGACTTCTGTTGACAAACAGCTGTCCCAGCAACATATGGAACATACTAATCAGATAAGCGGCGTAGTAGCTCCTCGCGTTTTCTCTCGCGTTTTTCACGCATCGGGTGTTTTCTGCATGGACCGCTTTGATATAATTGTTCAAGTGATATATTTCAATTAAAGTTGCCCCCGAGCAAAGCGGAAAAGTCGAATACGAGCGCGAAAGGCTGCTGGGAATCGCTAAAAAATTAATGAATTTTTTAGCAATTCCCAGCAAGCCTTTCGCGCTCTTTTTCGACTTCTCCGCTTTGCTCGGGGACAACTTTAATGAAATAGCTGTATGCACATTACCTCGCGTGTTTCTGCACTGACTGCTTTGATATAATTGTATGGAGATTATGTATATGTTTGCACTGATAACTGTAATTAGGACAGAGAGAGCTCACTGTTGCTTTCAGTGTAGACCTGATGAATTAGGTATAGGTTCTCGATATTTACCCACGCAAAGATTACACCCGAGGGATGTATCACTCTGGGATTCTTCCTCGATTTTTTCGAGATTTCTAGAGAATTTTTTATAGGTGAACGAAATTCTTTGCAGGGCCATATCCTCGATACCAGCCTTTGTAGCTGAATGGGCCACCCTGCTGAAAGTCACTTCACTTCACTTTTGGAGAAAATATTTTTGTATTGTTGCAAATGAGGATATAATAACCAGGGCTCAATATAACGGTCGGCCAAAATGCTGATATAGCCGTCTACTGATTACTCTGCACGGTCATTATGGCCGACCGTTTTGTCTCATTAATTTGAATATTTCTTCCTTTATTGTTGAAAATATTTTTAACAAAATCTGTAATCTTTAACACATGCAAACAAAGATTCCATCTGCTGAACAATCATAGAATCTGACTTCGTCCCGATCCACATAATAACAATGTCATCTCGTCAATTATTAAAACAACTGCGTCTATTAATATATATATATATATATATTAATATATATATTAATATATATATATTAATATATATATATTAATATATATATATATATATATATATATATATATATATATATATATATATATATATATATATATATATATATATATATATATATATATATATATATATATATGTATAGGTTATCATATAAGGGATGAGGTGATATCAGTTTTATCGCTCGAGGGATGATATCACAATTGTCACGAGCGAGCGAGGGACAATTGTGATATCATCCCGAGAGCGATAAAACTGATATCACCGAATCCCGAGTACGATAACCTATTTATTATATACTTGTACCTTTATCAGGGTTTGACACCCAAAAGTAAACAGTTTTGAAAAAATAGGATTATTTTAGAATTCAAAAAAATTGATCATTTACTGAACAAATATGATTTTAGAAAATAAATAGACCATTCATATAAATAATATACAATTTAATTCTTTCGTTTTGTATTATCGTTCTTGTTTCCTTCGATAAAACTGTCGAAACGAACTTCGAAACCAACACGAACTTCGAGTCGGCCATCTTTGTTTTGACAAGGCGCGAAATTTAGCGGGACAAAAAACGATATCCGGGACAAAAAACGATATCCGGGACAAAAAACGATATCCGGGACGATATCGTTTTTATGTCCCGCTGCTTCCTACCTGATAAAGGTACAAGTATGTGATAAATACTGTTACTGAGTAAGTTGTCGTTGATATTGTGTAATTTTGTTAACCATTATGCATATGGTTTTGGACTTTTGGTAGTTGTTACGGTTTCGGTTTCTAGTACTGTGACAACTGACAATGTCCCTCTTGAGAATAATTAAGTGCCGATCGTGTCCGACCAAAACATGGGGTGGTCTGACACAATGTCAGACAAGTTTTCAGAATTATATTGAACTCTGATAATAACATTCCAGGGGCTCACCTCGTTAATATGCTTGTACGTCTTTATAAGGTCAACACTTAGTTTCCTCAATGGTGCCGCAGATGGATCACGATAGGACGTTTGCGGTGCATTTACAGCATTATTAGGCACAGGCTGAGTCCGATCATCATTTGACTCAGCCATTATTGTGCCACGCTAAAAGATTCTTCTTAATATCAATAGAGCTTCATAGTGCATTGTAGACCACAAAGGAAGCATCCAGCCTCCTACATAAAAAAATACAAAAATAAATCACTGTATACAGAACTTTAAAGAGTATACAGTAGATACAGAAAACAAATAACAAGCTATAAGAAAGAAAACCACATAAGAAACCATACAATGGTTGCGACAATCATATAACTATAAGATAACTTCAAACTACCGCGGTACAGTACTGTAGTTTGACAGAAATTTCATTTGTACACGAAGACCAACCGACAACTCGACAAGTACGTCAAATTTTTCCTTATTGATATAACACTCTCAGCGGTATGGCAAAAGAGTGATGGGTGATAAAAAAAAAACACTGAAAAGATTAAATTAAAGTAACTTTTATTTGCTCGCATTTCATGGGGACGTAACGAGATTTTTGGCCTTGTGACAATTTTCAAAAATAGGTACGCGACGCGTACATGTATCTGCGAAAAAAGTTGATTCACATTTTGTATTTTCTTGAAACTGAATAATGAAGATGACATGGGCTGTACACAGCGGGGAGTGCAGCAGGGCAAGTGCTACCCCCCCCCCCCACCGAGAAAATTTAACTAACTTTATAATGTGATTATGATTGTAACAGATAATTATGCAGTCAGGAAATAAAAAATTCATGCAAACAATATTCAAAGTGTCTATACAGCCGGCTATTTAGTAAACTGTCACCTGTCAATTCAATCCATACTCATCAAATTTTCAAAACTTTATTGTAATCATATGAAGCAAAAGTTATGTCACATGTTGTTTACACTTGCCAATGTTAACTGTTGAGTAACATACACAAAATATTTGGTGAACATGTCGAAGACCACTGAATAATTGAGAATGTTTTGAAGGTCATGAATGAAGTATATAATTAAATTCCAGTTCTGTGTACAGTTAATGATATACCACACTGTTCAGTTTAACA